AGATTTTAACATCCATGCTGAGACCTCCTTGTCCGGCGCAGCTCAGGACTTTATGGCCGCCATTACGACCATAGGACTGTCACAAATTATATCTGGACCCACCCATCAGGCTGGACACACACTCGACCTAGTCTTTGTGGTGGACAGTGGAATGATCAGAGTGGAAGAACAAAACATCCTTCCGGTGTCATGGTCTGATCACTATCTGATCAGTTTTAGACTCTCTGCGACCCTCAACCTTCGCAGGGGTGGAGGACAGATTAAAATGGTCCACCCTAGGAGACTGATGGATCCGGATGGATTCCTGAGGAATCTTGGGGTTCTTCCTGTCACGGAGCCTGGTGATTCTATCGACGCCTTGGTGGATCTCTATAATAGGGAGATGTCCAGGGCGATAGATACGATCGCTCCTGAACGCCCCATCTCGTTGTGTCGTGACAGGCCGTCTTCCTGGTTCACTGGGGAGCTGGCTGTGATGAAGCACACGAGAAGGGGGCTAGAGCACAAGTGGAGGAGATCTCGGGACGTGTCTGATCAAGCACGGGCTAAAGCCTCTCTTAAGGCATACTCCATGGCTATTCAGGTGGCCAGGGAATCTTTCATGACCACCCGTATAGCGTCTGCAGCAAATAGATCATCGGAGTTGTTTCGGGTTGTCGGGGAACTCCTTCATCCACCTGTGGTGGAGGAGACCTTTGACAACCCAGCAACTCGGTGTTGCGACTTCGCACACCATTTTGCAGGCAAAGTTGCTCAGATACGCCTTGAGCTCGACTCCAATTTCATCGCAGTGCCAGATGAGGTGATTGAGGCATCTGCTTATCCAATTTTGTGGGATTCTTTTAGGCTTGTTCTTCCTGAGACCGTGGAAGAGGTCCTTGGGGCTGTGAGGGCGACCACTTCGACTCTAGACCCTTGCCCATCTTGGCTCATTAAATCGGCCAAGGAGGGGTTGGTTGATTGGTTTTTGTTGATCATTAACGCATCGCTGGAGCAAGGGATTTTTCCATCTAATTTGAAACAGGCTGTGGTTCGCCCACTCCTCAAAAAGGCTTCCCTTGACTCCACGGTGCTGAACAATTCCCTTGACTCCATGGTGCTGAACAATCTCCAACCTCCCTTTTTTGGGCAAGGTGCTGGAGCGGGTGGTCGCCTCCCAGCTCCAGGGCTTTTTAGATGACATCAACTACCTAGATCAGTCACAGTCTGGTTTCAGGCCTGGTCACGGCACCGAGACAGCCTTGGTCGCCTTGGTGGATGACCTCCGTAGAGAGCTGGACAGGGGGAGTGTGACTCTGTTGGTTCTCTTGGACATCTCAGCGGCTTTTGATACCATCGATCATGGTATCCTTCTGGGTCGTCTCTCTGGGATGGGCCTCGGGGGCACGGTTCTGTCGTGGCTCCGGTCCTTCCTGGAGGGACGAACCCAGATGGTGAAGCTGGGAGACGCCTGCTCGGACTTCTGGCCGTTGACCTGTGGGGTCCCGCAAGGCTCCATTCTGTCTCCCATGCTTTTTAATATCTACATGAAACCGCTGGGAGAGGTCATCCGGAGTTTTGGAGTTGGGTGCCACCTCTACGCAGATGACACGCAACTCTACTACTCTTTTCCACCGAATTCCAAGGAGGCCTCTCGGGTGCTGGAAGAGTGCCTGGCCGCTGTGTCTATCTGTGTTGCATCCCAGTTCAAGAAACAAGACCATAAGATTAATTCCACCACTCTGGACTGTAGGAAAAACAATACTTGTTTATTGATGAAAAATTGGTTACAAAAGAAAGGTAAATGCAGAGTAAAAAAGCCACAGAAAAACACAGTAGTCAATAGGATCTCTGAACTTGAGCAAAACTTCAAAAGCCACAAAACAATAACCAGGAGTCTGTTAGCCTTTTACTAACCATGAACTTGGAAACTAGAAGCCTCTGGGATTACTGGCCATGGAACACAGGAATTCTGCCAAGACCAGCCACAGTCCCGAACGTTGCTTGACCTAGAGAAGCACCCAGCAGGGACGCTCTTAAACCAAAGAAGCTATTCTTAGCAACGCCCCTTGACTTTTCTGTCTAGGCCTCTTTCTGCTGTAGACGCTGTGACCTTCGTACAGACTGGGAAACAAATCTATCTCTGACTATCTGTTCTCTTCGGTCCTCATTATCAGCGCCAGGTGGGGCGATATCACGACTAACTTCCAAAACATTCTCTTCTAACTGTTGGGTTTCGTTTTCATTCTCACTGACCTCTGCATCAACAAGAGATTCCACACTGTCAGCGTCAGGGAGAACTTGCTCAGTTGGAAAACCTATCAGAGAATCCTGTTCACACAGATCAGGATCAGGCTGAACCCCAACAATCTGGATGAGGAGGAACAAGCTGAAGATCAATCCCGACAAGACAGAGGTCCTTCTGGTAGATCGGAAACCGGATCGGGGTATAGGGTGGCAACCTGTGTTGGACGGGGTTACACTCCCCCTGAAGCCACAGGTCCGCAGTCTGGGAGTCCTCCTGGATTCATCGCTCACGCTTGAGGCTCAGGCGTTGGCGGTGTCCAGGAGGGCTTTTGCACAATTGAGACTTGTGTGCCAGCTATGACCGTACCTCGCAAAGGCTGATCTGGCCGGGGTGGTCCATGCCTTGGTCACCTCTAGATTGGACTACTGCAATGCGCTCTACCTAGGGCTGCCCTTGAAAACGGCTCGGAAATTCCAACTGGTCCAACGGGCAGCAGCCAGGATGTTAACCGGGGCTCATTACAGAGAGAGGTCAACCCTCCTGTTCAAGGAGCTCCACTGGCTGCCATTTATTTTCCGAGCCCAATTTAAGGTGCAGGTGCTTACCTACAAAGCCCTGAACGGTTTGGGACCACCCTACCTGCGTGACCGCATCTCCGTCTACGAACCCACACGTTCACTCTGGTCATCTGGAGAGGCCCTGCTCGTGATCCCGCCCGCGTCGCAAGCGCACTTGGTGGGGACTCGAGACAGGGCCTTTTCTGTGGTGGCCCCCGACTCTGGAACGCCCTCCCAAAAGATCTTAGACAGGCCCCTTCGCTGGCAGTCTTCAGAAAGAATTTGAAGACCTGGCTGTTCCGATGTGCCTTTTCAGATTAGGAACCTCCAATACCAAGTCCTAGAAGCACTTTAGTAGAACTAAGATCACTGCACACCGCACACTGCACCTACTTTATAATCCTACATACCTCCTGCCACATCAGCACTTTTAATCTTGTACCCATTTCTCTGTCCTGGCCCAGTTTTATAGTGTCTTGATGTCTTGATGTACTGTTATTGTTGTTGTTTATTTTGCTTAACTGTTTTTAATTTGCTCTAGGTATTGTATTGTTGTATTGTGTTTTTGAGGCCTTGGCCTATGTAAGCCGCATCGAGTCCTCCGGGAGATGCTAGCGGGGTACAAATAAAGTTATAATAATATAATAATAATAAAACGAAAAGACCAATATCTTTTCTTCCCCCCTCCCCCAACATGGGCACATGAGATGTTAGTAGAGGAAAGCATAAGCAAACCCCCTCTGATCAAATCTTGTTAGGAAAACCCCACCTTATGATCACCATAAGTCAGAAATTATTTGAAGGCACATAATAACAACAGTGGGAAGAGATGCTCATTGGATTTTCTGATAATATTTCACTATAATGCCCATCTAAACATTCCAATTAGCATTCCTAAATGGTCGTAAGAACACCATACTGGTACATATAAGCATTGGTTGTTAAAATAAGAAATAATTCACCCGAAAAGCCCAGAAAGCTATAGGAAGCCATACAATGTATTTATTTCACGTATTTGTATCCCAGCCTTCTCACCCTAAAAGGGGACTCAGGGCAGCCTTACAGCAGCTTTACAATCTATAGATGTAGTATAAAGCTATATCAGGCATAATAGCAGAAATGAGCAATGAGGGTATAAAAGGGGAGGCCACCAGGGGGTGCTAGAGAGAAAAGGATAGTTCATTTTATGGGGGGGGGGGGTTGAAGGAGGAAAACGATTGCCCTGGTTTTTGCTGGTTATGCCCCCTCCCTTCCTCCTCCCCATATCATAAATGAGGGTTGTTTCCATGACCAAGACATGGGTGGCAGGAATAAGAGGAAAATGGTTTTACTCCTTCAACCCACCCTCCACCCTCATACAATGGACTAACTATCCTTCCCTCTCCAGCACCCCCTAGTGGCCTCCGCCTGGATAATGGAAAAGTACTAAAGTGTTTTTTTTAATGGGCATATATTCACATTTTTGTTATTATGTTTCAATCACATTTTTAAAATGAACTGTTATTTGAATTTTAATATTTCCCTCCTTTTCCATCAAAGGATCTGTGTTCAACCTGAGAGTAATAATAAACCAATGAGGAAAATCAGCCTGAGCAAACATGCTCCACAACTGTAAAACAAGGCAGCATCAGTATTGGAGTTACAATCACCTGTCCATCAACACCTACCCCACACTTAATCCCTAAAACCATTATTTGGAGAACAGCACAGATGCTTGTCAATGTTTAAATAAAGAATTTGGAAAAAAATATCTATCCAATATGCTTTTAAGGAACAAGATGGATGAGATAACTCTTAGTAACAAGGAAATTGCAGTCATTTTTAGAATTGCTAGTTAGATGGAATGACCTCCTTCACATTCGCTTCTGCAGAGGCACTGAGACAGAGAGTAGTTTTCTCACTGTTGTTCCCTACCATGAAACTGACAGCTGATCTGCTGATTAGTGGGTGAAGCATTCAAGGTGTTTGCATGCAACCTGAAGGTAATGGAGTAACCATACTTGTTTTAGTGAACAAATTTTGTTTTTCATTATTTTCTTTGCAGCCTAACACATAGCAAATATAACAGGAAATGGGCCTTTACACTGCCTTCCAAGAGTATCACAGAAGAATTTATCTTGGGGCCACACTCTGACTTACTATCTGAGGGGCACAACAAATGTTTCAATTGTTTTACAAATATGCATACAAATTGACAACAATTCAGTGGGGCTTACATCAAAAGTTGGTGCACTTTGTTGTGCACTCTGGCCACCACATGGCTCTCTGAAGCAATCGCTGAAAGGCAGAAGAAGACCCATTGCAATTATCCACGAACAAATCTTCTCTGCTTCTTCTTGTGGTGCATTCTCCTGCTGACTGGATAGCTTCTCCAGCAAAGTTCGACCTACCAAAAAAATTAAAAGTAAATGGATTAATGTTTCAAATGAGGACCAAGAGGCCTTTAAAAACTGTTCAGAAGCTTCAAGTGGTCCAACAGGTGCTAGCCAGGTTTCTCACTGGGGCAGTGCACAGGGAGCATACAACCTCCCTGTTATGTCAGCTCCACTGGCTGTCACTCTGCTACCGTGAACAATTCAAAGTGTTGACTTTAGCCTACAAAGTCCTAAACTGTTCTGGCCCAGCTTACCTGTCCAAACGTATCTCCCTCTATGATCCACCTCAAAGGTTAAGATCTGGGGAGGCCCAGCTCTCGGTCCCACCACCTTCGCAGGTGTGGTTTGTGGGGATGAGAAACAGGGCCTTCTCAGTGGTGGGCCCCTGCCTATGAAACTCCCTCCCTGGCAAAATTAGAGCAGCCCCCTGACCTTCAGGAAGGAAGCAAAAATGTGGTTATGGGATCAAGGTTTTGGCTAGCAAGTTTTAGTGCAATACAAAAATATGGACTAGTGAAATGAGAAATTCAGCAGCTTTGGATCATGATTTTGAATGGTGTGATTTCAATAATTTGTTTTAAAAATGATATGTTTTTACTTCATGGTTTTAATGTATTTTATTTTACTGTATGGATGTTTATGGCATCAAATTACTGCCTATCTGTAAGGCCGCTCTGAGTCCCCTTCAGGGTGAGAAGGGCGAGATATAAATGTAGTAAATAGAATAAATAAATATGAGGATCCACTGTTTCATATAAAGGCACCAACAACTTTGTACAGAACAACCACTAAAATTACTTTTAAAGCAACAATGGCAAAAATACGTTTCTCATACGACAATAAACATATAAGTAAAACTTTATTTCTATCTCCCCTATCTCCCCATAGGGTTTCAGAACAGCTCACAGCATAAAAGGCAAACATTCATTGCCATAAAAGCACCCCACAGTAGATAGAACTTCCACTTTGTTAGCCCGTGTTTGTAGATTTCTTTTTATTATTATTATTTTTCAAAGTGCTGGTTTTGACCTATAAAACCCTATACGGCTCCAGCCCAGCGTACCTGTCTGAACATATCTCCTTCTACGTCCCGCCTAGGAATTTAAGATCTTCTGGAGGGGCCCTGCTCTTGGGCCCGCCCTTGTCACAAACGAGGTTGACAGGGACTAGGGACAGGGCCTTCTCGGTGGTGGCCCCCCACCTGTGGAATTCACTCCCTGGGGAAATTATATCATCATCATCCCTCCTCTCTTTCAGAAGAAAATTAAAAACATGGATATGGGACCAGGCCTTTGGATAATGTGGCAGAGTGACAATGGACAATGAAGACTAAAGCTTTGGAAACTGACTATGATAAGCACAATGAATTTATTAATTACAGACTTGGCAAAACGATGGCCACCATTTTTATTGTATTAATGTAATGTTTTAACTATTATAATTTATTGTTACTATGTATTTTACTGTGTGAATTGTAAGCATCAACGTATGCCGGTTGGAAGCTGCCCTGAGTCCCCCTTCAGGGGTTGAGAAGGGTGGGGTAGAAATGCCCGAAATAAATAAATAAATAAAATTATCTCTGTAAGCAATTCAGACAGCTACACATAAGGCCAGGAGTGCAGTCTATGGAAGCTGTATGCTTGGATCACCATGTGGAAGGGGGAAAGTGAGCTTTTGTTTGAATCTTTTTTTTAAAAAAATCACTGCACAACTTGTCTGTGTTTGTGGTCCAGTGAATATCTAAACAGGCGCCATATATTTTCATAAATATGTTGCTAAATGTGCTCCTTTATATTATTTTTTCCCAGTTCATGTCATGCTAACATTTTATTTCCTGTTATATTAAGGCATCACTTAAACTTCCCCTCTAGAGCATGAAGATCATCTTAGACTAAATCAGGCTTAGGTATCCGTAGACTTTCCAAAAAGAATGACTTAAAGCAGAAAGGACATAGGGACAGATTTCAGAAATCTCTTCACCATTATGGGAGTGGAGATGAGATGCATTTGTAGTCTGACCCTGTTCTGTGGTTGCCAGGATAGAATAGCATAAATGTGAAATTGGACAATGGGCTAATGCCACAGAACAAAACAAGACAGAGAGTTTCAAACAATGGTTATACCTAGACTTCTTTCCTAATAGATTTTAAGCAGGTTGCAAAATACTTAAGTAAGGAAGCACACATTTTGGTCTTAAAGAGCTGCTTTAGGTTGATAAATATGTATTATTTAAATGAGTGGCGTTTTAAAATATATTTTACTGTTATTCACCCAGGAGACCTAGTTGTTAAAGAGAAGGTTTTAAAATATTTTTGATGGCTGGATAGAGAAAACATAGTGGTTGATATGGATGGAGAATAGTGTAACTGTTTAATTGTGGTTTTTTTATTGTGGTTGTTATGATTTGGCATCGCGTCAGTGTCCAATGTATGGCACTGAAGTTTTGTCAGTTATGTGTAAACCGCTTTGAGTCCCCTAGTGGGGAGAAAAGCGCTATAGAAATACTGTAAATAAATAAATAAATAATAAATAACAGTGAGTTCCCTCCGGGGTGAGAATGGTGGGGTAGAAATGTCATAAATAAACAAATAAATAAATAAATAAATATGGTATAAGGCCTACCTGAAATCCCATAAGCCTTGACTGAATTATACATAAAAAGACCAGTTGACAGGTGCTGTCACACACAAGGCTAATGAGAGAAGAGACAATGACTCAAACGAACAGCATAACACAGGATTTGCAAAGTGAAGCAAGATTCCCATTTCTTTCTGTGAATTTTTCAGTTGGTGAACAGGAAAACCAGCAATATAGCCTGAATTTGCATAGTTTGCAACAAGAATGGAGAGATGATCTTAATACTAACCTTAACTCAAGTCATATTTATTTGTTCCTAAAACAGTTGACCTCTTTGGAGTCCGAAATTAAGAGGAGCACAAGCTGAAGAATGATTGCATTCTGACCCAGGAAAATGAATCAAGCTCATTCACTAGTATCTATTAGGCCTGGGTAACAACGGAAAAATTTGTTTCTAAAATCAATTCGTTTTTTGGGGTTTTTTGCGTTTCGTTATTTAAAATAATTACAAAATTTTCCTTTTAAAAAGTTCGATATTTACGAAATTTCGTAAATGTGAAAAAAATTACAAAACATTAACGAATCGATTTCCGAAACAATAACGAATCGATTCGTTAATGGCGGACGCGACCGCGAAATACGCTAAAAAACCTCCAAAAACTTCTGAAGCTTCCCTCTCCCTCTGTTGTTGACTGTTGGTGTGATATTATAATTTTTTTTCACTAATTAAACAAAAAACAACAATAAAACTTGCCCCAGACATGCGGAAATAATAACGAAACGACCTCAAAACAATAACGAAACGAATACAATAACGAAATACGAAGCATTTACAAAACTATTTAAAAATTCGTTTTTTAAAAAAATTGCTCCAGAATGGTTCGTTATCATTTTGTAATTGAAAAAATTAACGAATTATTAACGAATTACGAATTAACGAAACGAAACCGCCCAGCCCTAGTATCTATCCACTGTTAATCCAGTTGTTACCTCCTGCAGAATTCTAGGGTTTGTAATTTAGGGAGGGGGGGCTTTAAACCGCTCAGCCAGAGAGGTTCTGGGCCTCACAAAACTACAAGCCCCAGAATACTACAGTAGATAGCAACTGGATTTGAGGTGAATACATGCTCTATGTGATGAAGTCATAAATCTTTCAGAATGTCAGTGGACAAAAACCTTTGGGAAACCAGTTGAGTCAATTTTGGTGAATACTGGTTACATTGTGAAATTGGCAATGTACTGATGGCATTTTGGAATTTATGAGGTCTCCACACTTTTGCTAATGTTATGGGGTAGAACAGGCTTGTCCAAAGTCTGGCCTGGGGGCCAATTGTGGCCCTTGTTCAAATTTCCACGGGCCCTCTCTCGCCAGGTGTCCCTCCCTCCCTTCCTTAACTTCCTTCCTACCTTCCTCCCTCTTCAGGATCAGGGTCCCAGAAAAGGTGTGCACCTTGGAAGGAGAGAAAGAGAGATGGTAGCCTCTTGGGTCCCTTCATCCCAATTAAGCATTGCCTTCTCCTCGGGTGGCTCCAGTCTTGGGCATCCCTTCCTAGTGGCCCCTTGTTTCTCTTTCCCTCTTCCCCCACAACTTTTTTTATTTCTCTCTGAAATGGCTTGAAGGCACACAACAATAATTCTAATTAACTTGACTCTCTCATCCACCAAATACAGACCCACATGTCCCATTGAAAGATTGGTACATTTAGTTGGTTAACATTGTTTTTCATTTTATATATTGTATTGTTTTTTTTTTTCATATTTTCTTTTTGCATTACAAATAAGACATATGCAGTGTCCATAGGAATGCATGTTTTTTTCAAACCATAGTCTGGCCACCCCAACAGGCTGAGGGACCATGAACTGGTCTCAGCCTTAAAAGTTTGGATACCCCTGGGGTAGAATGCTATATTACTATAAAAAGGGGAGGTGTCCCAGTTTATGCCTTCACACACACGTTACAGTGGTAAGCATGGTACACAAGAGCAGGAATCAACAACATATAATGGAAAGGAGTAATGAAAATATAAAACTATATAACATTTTAATCAAAACAAATTATATTTGATTTAATACAGAGAGACAGCATTATAATAAAATGATATAAATATTAACATACTAACAATCTAAATGAAAATTGTAGAATTTTCTTTGTAGATATTAATAATAAATAATTTAAGAAAAAATTTAATGTGAAATAATTTGTTATTAAAATTAAGATAAATTTCTACTGATGAAGAACTGGAAAAGAATATAGGAAAAGGAGGAGACGATGTGAGAAGAGATAAGAAGATACAACCAATAGACTTAAAATTAAAATTTTTAGAATCCTCAATATTTTATGAGATATGTGTTAAAGAAATAGAAATGAAGACTTAGTTGTAACAATGATAATTTTATAAAGAACCCCCAATACCTCAACAACCCTCACCTTCTT